AATTGTGTTACGAGTGGGAAAATTTGTGTGAGAAATGAAAATTGTTAAATAGGAATTTACGAATAATTTTGTATTACCAGCCCATTTTATTTAATATCTACGATGTTGGACCAATTTTTTGATCGAGGAAATTAGATCAAAATTTAAGGCAACATTTCAGTAATTTTTTAGGAGAAATTTGAAATTACGTTCGGACTAATTCCCTTTCGAAATAAAAGATTTCAAATTCATAATACTGTAAATATAGATGGACTTGTTAAAGCTTCGAGCAAAGTATTTAATTCCCATTGTAAATACGGTACAACGCTCGGGGAAATAAAAGCGCGAATAACATGCGAATTACATGCGCGCGTAGCTTTAAATTAAAGCTTTCGAATTACAAAAAACAAAGAAGTGTATAAATAAATACTTCTCGGGAAAAATCGTTTCGATTTATTTGCGATCGTTGGTTCGATCGCAATTTTATACGGTTCGAACGCCGCGAGTTATTTTTTTCCCTTTCTTTCTCTAGTTTTCCACATCTCTCTGGTACGTTCCGGCGAAAGATCCGGCGAAATATATATTGATCGTCCGCGTTTTTCCCGCGAGCGCGCTCTAACATGGCGGGAACCGCAACGATTTCCGGCCGGTGAAATAAAAACAACATCGAGGAGGAACGCGCTGTCCACTTGGCCGGGGACAATCTGCTTTACCGCGATCAATGATTGGCAATTTGCAAAAATCCTCGGCGGTTTCGCCCGCGCGGATTTACGTCGTTACGTGACCGTACAAATACGCCGGCCATCAAATGGATTTGCGGTCCGCGCAAAGTTATGTGCAGAAGTGCCGGCTGAAAAGTGCAACGTGGCTCTCCTCCTGGGAAAGTACTGTTCGAATTTCGACGAGTTAATATGAAATATCGATCGTGCGAATTTTGTTACGAGTCCAAGCACACGTTTGCGTAGGAACAGGAATTTAGCACGACTGAGCTTCGAGTGTTAGAGGAGCTAGAAGAAAGTGTTTGGATCGAGTGCTTGAGATTACTATGCAAAGGAAATGTGCATGATCGATCAAAGTTTTAGGTGGATATGATCGAATATCTGCGTGGTTTGCCTGAATTGAGCAAAAGGGATGGAAAAGTAGAGAAATAATGAATATACAGGGTGTCAAAAAATGTTTCGACCAAAATTCAGGAGCATATAGCCGTCATCGAAAGGAACAAGAAACTTCTAATAAGTATGGGTCGAAAAATTAGTATTTTCAGAGTTATATACAATTTTTCATTTCACAACAGAAACTTCGAAAATAACTTTGAAAATATTAATTTTTCGACACACGTTTATTCGAACTTTTTTGGTTGTTTCGATGAGTACTATGTGCTGCTGAAGTTTGGTCCAAACTTTTTCCGACACCCGGTATATTGCAGAAGATGCGTGTGCGAGTTAGCTGGTTGTTTGAAGTGACTTATACATATGGTGTTCTACTTTTAAAGCACTCTTAACATGTTCATACATTTTATATACACTTGAGGCTCTACATTTATCAGAATTCGACAGAAACACGAGAAAATTATAGAAAAATTATCAGTAGAAAACTACAAAAATCACTTTTCAGCGTACCTTATTATCAAACAGTTTCGCATACATTTCTCCGGAAACTTCCGGCGATAGATCAATCCGCTCGAACTATCACTCGAACATCCACCTAAAAGGGTAGAAGAAGAAGGGAGGGAGAACGAAAGAACTCGTAGAAACGCACGGCAAATTGCATCGCGATCGATCCCGAAGTCCGTCCCCCTCGCTACAAATTTCCATCTCCGCCGTTCGAACAAAAGCGTTTACAACGATTTCAATTTACCCTCGACGATGTGGCGGGGGTGGCAATAGTCAAAGACGGATATTAATTTCTTTCGGTTGATTTATTAGCGGCTCGTGAATCGGGCCGAGAATGGGGTAGAGAAGAAAAAAAGAAAAAAAGAAGAGGCGGCGGCGAGAGAACGGCCACGATCTCGCGCGCGCGGGCATGTAATGCGACGTAAAAATTGGGGGTGGGAGGAAGTCGAAGCTCGGGCTCGAAGCCAGAAACGAGGGCCGAGAGATATTCATGGAATCGTCGTGGAAAAGTTTCCTTCTCGCGATACACAGCTGCACACTCGACGGATCCCATTTCCTTCTCGCGCTCCGGCCAGGATATGCGCGCATTTATATCTGTCGGGTTTCGTTGCCGTCGTAAACGACGCTTCGCGCCTCGAAATGTATTTTTCAGCCAGCCCGCCTACTGTGTCTTCGCGAATGCACTCGCTGCCAATGTTGATCTCTGCCGGAGAAATTGATGGAACGGCTTCGATGTAAGGGCGGGGAAATTGTTTCCTGTTAATTTGTTATCACCGTGTATTTTTACACCGTGTACATTCTCACGCTGCAGCGTCCTACTTTACCGATGAATTTTCCGGGAAGTACGAGAATTTTCTTCTGAAAAATTTCATTTTTTTTTTTTGGGGTGAAAAATTGACGGATTTTATTAAAAAACAAAAATTTCATGTGTCCCATGAAAGGAATAGTATTCGCAATTGAATTTCTCTGGCTATCCGTTGCTTTCTACCGATTCCATTGTTCCGGGTATTAAATTATACGTAAAAACCGCTTTTAAATAAAATAATGGTTTATGAAAGCGTAAAAATTTGTTGCCTCCGCGTCGTGTGTTTTTCGCTCCTTTTGTCGAACGATTTAGCGGAACGTTTTATGGCCTTTTTTTTGTATTATTCGCTCAATTGATCATACCTGTGTATTTTATAAATCTAATAATTCACGATTTTTCCATTTTTTACGATTTTAGCCGGTTGCGATAAATTCTTTCTGTAAATGCGAAGTGTATTATTTTTGCATCAACAAGCTAAATGACACGAGATGCATATTAAAAGCACATTTTCAATGTAGAGAGAGAGAGAGAGAGAGAGAGAGAGAGAGAGAAAAGGAAGGAAATCGCTGCGTTGCCCGATGCTTTTAAATATTTCGTACTTAAGATTATTCTTCTTCTCTTTTTTCCACCTGCAAACAAGTGGAGAACGTTTCGAAAATCCGAATAATTACGAACATTTTTCTCTCTCTGCCAGAGAGGACACGTTAATAAAACCGTTTTCCCCGTACAGAGATTATTCCCGTTTCCAACTCGTACGATCGTGGGGAACGGCGAATTAAGGAACGCACAAATGGACGGAATCGGTGCTCATTTGAGAAGATTACAGTCCTCATAATTTATTCCCCATAAACTGAAACGCTTTGGGAAAGTACGTTCGCTTAAATGGCAATACGATTAATTCATATTAACGTTAAAATAAGGGCCAATATGTACGGCTGAGACGAGCCAGAAAGGACGAATCGCTCTGCTGCATTTACTCTCCTCCCATTTCGTTCCTTTTCTTCAATTAGTCCCATAGAAGGGATCGCGAAAGAGAAGAAACGCAACGTGTACACGGAGTACACCTTTCAACATATTTTCTGCTAATTTGCAATTCAAACAAAGTTCTACGTCTGTTCGGTCTTCCAGCATTCACTGCCTTTTATCTGGCAGCACGTTATATTAAGGAAATGTTTTTTCAGTGATTTATCCATAGATTTGGGAGTTTTTCATTTATAGCCGTGCGTCGTCTGACCGTTCACTGACTCGTTCTACTGATATTTCTGTGCCGCAGTGATACACCCTATTAATCTAACCTTTTCAGTTGTTTATTTATGTATTTGTAAATTTTTAGTCACAGTTAGTAATAAAAGGGTTAAAGAAGTAAAAATTACTGTTTGAAAACTTTCGAAACTACCACTTGTTACGAGAACAAGTAATCGAAAGATTTGTGGATCTTTAATTTCTCGAGGTCTGTTTGTCTGACCATTCACGGGCACATTCTACTGATATTTCGATACTGCGCTAATACAGATTTGTGGATTTTTAATTTCTATCTGTTCGTCTGACTGTTCACTGACACATTCTACTGATATTTCTGTGTCGCAGTAATACACTCTGTTGATCTAACGTTTTTCAGTCACTTATCCGCGGATTTGTGAATTTTTAGTCACCTTTAGTAAGAAAAGGGTTAAAAGAGTAAACGTCACTATTTGAAAACTTTCGAAACTATCACTTGCTATCAGTATCGGTGTCTTCATCGCTGAAATACATTCAGCTCGAGGTAGATCGATATTAATAAATTGGTTTAAGACTAACGCACGTTACAGGCCGAGGTACTTTAATTAACTAACAAAATATGCTCGTTGATTGGTTCTGAAGGGAGCTGGCGCGGGTTCTGTTCCGAGAAGCATGTGATATACACGTTTCATCGACGAACCAAGTTCACGCAAGTTACACGCCAACAGGCAGGCCCGTTCTCAGGGAAATTATACTGCGGAGATAATGTAAATAGCGAAGTTTATTCGAATTGGAATGTATCGAAATATTGTTTAATGACGGGCGAGAAGCGGGGTTTCCGAGGGGAGGAGGAGACGGTGGTTTTGATGGATCGCTCAACCTTACTATATTAACTGTGCCCAGGGAAAATTAATATTTGCGTTTCAGTAGATATTTTAATTCAGCCACATTTGGTTACCTTTCGTTCGCTCTTCGTGTATTGATTTAAAACGTAATACGTATGGAGATCGTTAGAGTAGTTCCACGTGCTTTGCACAGCGCAAACTAATAAAAGTATGATTGACAGTAATTTGAAAGTTAATCATAGTATAAGAAGAAAGGGAGGGAGGGAAATTTAATCACTCTGCGAAATTCTGTTTGCGTTCTAATGTAATATTTCTTTGGAAATCCGACATTGTGATTCTTGTTTCGCGAATTAAATGGAGGAACATCTGTGTCGGCTCGTACTCGGAATTATACAGATATAATGTTCAGTTTGCTGTAATACGAAATTCTTGAATTAACTGAATTGTAAAATTCGGTATACTTTTCTCGATGTCGATAGCAAAAATAATGGGTATTTTTGCGTACGACTGACGTGTGTTTGGTATTTTCGTGTATTTCAGCAGCTGACACGAACACAAATCAGCAGGCTCGCACAAACGCGACAGTTTTCACCACACAAGCTGACAGTGCGTCGCAGATTTCCGGTAAAACGAGCTTCGCGGTACCAGCCCCGCCGCCGTTGGCCTCCGCGGAGAAGGTTCGCAGACTTTCAGATAGCGAGCACTTCCGGCAGCCCAATGTCACCGTTTCCGGACACGCGACCGTACAGAAGCAGCTGCAGGAAGCGCAGACACAGGCTCAGGCGCAGGCGCTGGCCGACATGATCTTGAAGGTATTTTTTTCTTTTTATTATTTTACTCTATTTCATTTTTTTCGTTTTACTTTATTATCTATATCTGTTTCCAAGTATTTTGTTTTATATTATTGTTTATTCTGTATTTTATGCAAATTTTGCTAACTATGATTGGTCGAATCTGTAATTTTCCAGGGCACGACCAAAATGGCTGTGAAGAGAACAACATCCGATCCCGGGCAAAGATTGCATCTGACGTATCAAACGTCTGTTCAATCGACGACCAATCAACAGCAACAGCAGCAGCAACAACAACAACAGCAGCAGCAGCAGCAGCAGCAGCAACAACAAAATAATCAGCCTCAAGCACAGCCCGCAGTTACAGACAGCTTCTCGATGACAGGTTATTCAGAAGACGGTGGCTACTTCAGCCCGAGTCTTCAGGATGAAGTGTTCCAGCAAGTCACCGCAGTTCCTGACAGCGTTCTGCTTCATGCTACTCAATTGGATTCTCTTCAGGTGAGATATTACACTTCCTTAAATGCGTCCCTTTCATCTTGACATTCTGAGCTATGTTGTATTGTCAATCGACGAATTAGGCGACATGTTTCCATGATACAGAAGAGATTTTTATGATTTTGCATTTTCGAACGGTACACTATTCGATTTTTCCTTTCTTGTCATTAGGAAGTTTCGGCAATTGACTTTGTACTAGTATAAAATCATCCACATGAATTTATAAAAATTAATTGAACACTTGACATCGTTCAGAAGCATTTGACTTCTAATAGAGTTCAAGATCATGTTCAATCCTAAACTAAACAAACTTCTTTATTCATCTTAACCCCTATGTGGATAATCGGGTACCTTGTTACACATTCTCACTTAAAATATTTTATCTTCCCTGTAAGAAATTTTAATATCCAGCCAGATCGTTGTTACTTGCAACATTCCCTATCCCTGTTTGCCTCAAGTTTAGAATTTTGTTATCAGAAAACTCTTAAATTTGGACGATAACAATTGGACATACGGGTTAAAGTGTCAAGCATCCTTATAAAAATCAAGCACACTACTTAAAAATCATTGCATCCTAACAACACAATAATGTGATCTTATAAATATCTAATTCAAATCACGTTACCAAAAAATCTTTCTCGCTCACTCACACTCAAGAACATTCTGCGAACAGTTGACAAGAACTGTGGCATCCTGCCGAAAAGTCGAGGTGCTAAGGACAGCGACACGCGAACTAAGGCCAAGATAGGGAGAGAGAGAGAGAGGCGTTCGCGTTATAGTCGTTCGCGCTAGGACAGAATATCCTGGATCCTTTGACGGGCTAATTAGTCTTGGCGTCCCGTTCTTCGTTCCGCGCGGAGCGTCGAAAACGCTTTAGTTTCAATTACGTGACGGTGCAAGGGGCCGGCTCTCTCCGGACGCAAAATTTAATAAGGCGAATTATCTAAGTAGTTGGCGCCGACTGCACCGACAACGACGACGACGACGCTTTGTACCGTTTGAAAAGCACCGGATCCGCCTATGTTCTCCACCTATCCGCCGGATATCTTGCCCTCCTCCCTCTTCATCGTGTCTCGAACCTCTCATCCTCGAGCAGTCTCGTTAATGTCTGACCTACGGATACCAGGGATTCCTCTGTAATGGCTGCATCCTCTGCCCTGTACCTGGAACGCCTTCATTTCGTCAACTTTTCACTCTAGTCCCCTTGGCGAATTCCTGTTTTCACGAGAGCTGCGCCGATAGAAATCGATGCAGACGATGGACCGAGACGTGGTTCTTGCAACGCGAATTTGTTAGGCTACGTCGATCGAGCTAATTGAAATTAGGAGTAAATACAGGGTTTCCGTGAATATCGTGATATAATCGAATGCTTGGAACTATAATAGTTTTGCATATATGTAGAGGATTTGTGAATTTTTGGTTCCATCCAGTTGGTAAGGTAACGCAAAAATGTATTTACATTCGAAGTTACAGAAAATGATGGTATTGCTAGAAATTAATCGTCTATCATAGATTTTCATCTAAACGCAAAAGGCAGAGCTAATTAACCTCTATCGAGGTTTCCTAAATAAAAAAAAAAAAAAAACAAGAAATTTTCATCTGACAAGTTCAACGTTAATACTGTTCCATGGCACAATTCACAACTGAAATCTTCTACGACCCAATTAAAGAAGACTGCCTAATTTCATCCTACACGATACCACTAAACATCACCCACACTCAACTCCAAGTCAACTAACAGACACCGAACCGTTCAGTTTCAGACGGCCAGCCTGCTGCAAGAACAGCCCGCCGAGCAGCTGCAGGACATCACGTTGGAGGATCGATATCCATCTCAGCACACGGTGAATCCAGACCTTCAAGCATTGGTGAATTCGCCATTGCCGGACTCGTTAGCCGAGTTCAGTACCTACGGTGCGCAATACACGGAGAGTCCTCACACATTGCCAACGCAGTCACCGTTACCGTCGCCTCTAACCAGACACGACAGTCCAAGTTTCACATATCCAACGCCTCCAGCAAGTCAAGAGGGTCTGCTAACCGGGAGTTTTCCTCTGTTGAGCCCGCAAGAGGACCCAGAAAGTGTGAGACAAGTCTCGTCCCCGTTATCCGCCGCTTTCTACGCCACCACGATGTCCTCCGCGGCGGCTGTCGAAGAAGCTCTCAGCGAAGTGTTGCCAGGCGAATCCGAAGGAGACGCGGACCTGTACGGGTCCGGTTCGCCGAATCCGCACTCGCCGTTGCCAAGCCCGTTGTCAGCGACCCCTGCACCGTCGCCCTTGTCCTCGTTGCCGCCGTCTTCCGTGTCGTCGCCGGGGCCAGTGTCGTTCACAGGCACCAGCTTTCCCGTGTCACCGCATCACGCACTCCAGAGCCAGATGATGCCCAACTCCGAGGATCCTCTGCTCTCCTCGACGCCTAAGGACTTCACCACGGCCAGTCGTAGGCGATTCGAATTCCAGTCCTACAAGTTCATCACCAGCCAGAACTTGGTGGACTTTGGTCTGGGAAACGGTAGCCTTGCCGGTATCGTGGTGGACAATAACGGCGAGTTCAAGCTGATCCAGACCGCGGGACTGCAGAAGACGAACGTGCTAGTGCAAACAGGCGCTCTGAGTCCAGCGTTGACCTTCAAGAAGGAGGTGCGACTGACTACACCTAAGATGGAGCCGGTCACGGTGAACCTCGGCCTAAACGTGCAGACCAACCATCAGTACAACGCTGGTCAGTTCAATCAGCAGCAAGTGGTGAACCCTACCAAGTTTCTCATACAGACGAACGTCGCTAAGAACAACACGATGAGGCAGAAAACGCCTAGCGGAAATCTGCCGATTCCCGTGGAACAGATCAAGGAAGAACTGCTCGACGAAGACGTGTTTCTCAATCCCAGTAACGTGCCAACCGGCAGTCCTGTCAGACAGTGTAGAAAGAGGCCGCGTATGGACGGAGGTTTGTACGCTAACGCGTCGCACTCGTATCCGTCGAGATTGAGGAAAGCTTGCGACCGACATTGGGACAGCAGCTACACGCCACCTCCGATTTTGGATCCTTCCCGACCTGGGCCGGGTTTGTACGCGAGGCTGCATCAGTACGAGAGAGACTCCGACTTCAGCTCGGACGATTCGCAAGGAAACGACGGACCTCCGCCTAGGATCAACATTGGAACGAGGTACCAGGCGACGATACCACCGGTTGGCAGCGACGGGGACCGAGGAAAAGGCGAACCCGAGGCTGATCATTTGCTCTGGGATCCGGGTATTAATAACGTGCTGACGGACAATGAACGTAAGTGGATGTTTAACGATGGAATTTTTTTTTTTTTTTTATATTTATTGTGGGTTGTTTCGAGATAGGAGGATTGTTATTGGTCTTGTTACGGGGGAAAGTTTATTGTTGCTTGTATATTCGCATTTTTTTGGAAGGGGATGATCAGTTTGGTTTTGAGAAGTACAGATAGTGTAAATTTTGTATCCTGTTGTACGTTACTTTATATTTTAGTCAAAAATATGTTTTTCGTTGAAAATTATGTAAATATCTGATTAATGTGGTTGTACAGGGTGTTCCGCAGGTTTTTGCACGAATTTTTTCAGAATATTCTGTGGCTGAAAGTGTGACGAAAATGTCACATAAACGTAGGTGTATAAATACTTCGTTGAAAAATGATAAAATAAAGCGTAGAGTGATGATCTTGTTCTTATAGTAAAATTCTCTTACAGTAGAAAGAAATAAATGATGTTTACGTTTTTTCGTTTCAATCTATATTTATTAAATTAATGTTGAAAATTGGAAAATACTGTAATTAAAAAAATGATTCAAAACACTCTGACAAAGTTTGTACGAAAACCTAGAGAACACCCTGTAGAAATTATCGAATACAAAGTATCTTCAGTAATACTTATATCATTTAACAAATTAACACTGCACAATTAATCACAGAACTGTCCACGCGCACCATTGAACATAAAATACGAGCAAACTATTAATCTCGAATACACTCGTAGACAGAAAAAAGTGTGCTCTTGAAAATTCATTCGTTTCAAATTGATACATCAGTTGGTTCTCGAGATATACGATTCGAAATCTTAACGCTCGCAGAACACTGCGCGCCGTGTAATAAATCACACGAAATTCTCTGGCTTGACCTACATTTTTTCCGCGAAAATACGCACGTCACGAGTAATAATAGTAGTAGCAAAAAAAAAAAAAAGAGATCTGAGTCGGTGTCTATCACCGAAGAAGTACAAGAGATCCGATGATGGAAGCGAGATAGCGACAGCGAAATGTTCAAAATTATGTTTCACCTGAAGCAACGATATCTCTGGAACCGGAAGTCGTATCGACGTGAAATATAGACTGTTTAAAAGAGGAGAATCTCTCGATTCTAACGACACTATGTTTAACTTTTTTCAACGATACACGATTATTTTATACGAGGGAGAGCCGTTCGTTTCCTAGGCAATTTATGACACAAAATTGCAATGGAATAACAATTTACAAAGAAGAAAGTAACAATATTCACCAAAAAAAAAAATGTTAAAATAATAAATATATAAATTCTTTTAACTGTAAAATTAACAGAAGAAAATATGCCAGAAGAAGAATTATTTTACAAACAAATAACTACAATTCTACGAAATTCGACGAAGCGTTTCTCTATCTAGGTCCTCGATTAAACCGTTCATTTTCACGAATCAATATCTCTCTGTATTTTTATCCATCGTCACGCGGAACTTATCAAAAGAATAAGTAGATTACTTTATGCATAAACGTAGATAATAATCAAGCACACAGAGAGAGGGGGATAATACGTGAAACGTTTGCAATGTCGCGCTTGTCGTCACAGCACAAACACACGAATTACATTTAATTTATGCTTTGGCACGAGAGTGCGTTGTTTCCGTTCGAACGAGCTGTATCTGAAACAAGAACTTTTGTTTTGCAGTGGAGATGTATCTGCAATTTGCATGCTGCGCTGCGGTACCAGGTGGAGGAAGGAACAAAGAGTACGCGCTTCATCTGCTGCACATGTGCAGGGGAAATATTCATGTACGATTCTTTTGAATTTAATCTCATTATTCTACCACGCTTTGACAAATTCCAAAGATTCTTTCTCAATGGAATTTCGAGAGAATTACTGGGACGAAATGATAACGTGTACAGTATTAATTCCTTGTTTTTCTTTTTGCGCTGTATATGGAAATATTTGCATAAAATAATTGTGCTATCTTTCTGTCCATGTATATATAATACGAAATCATTTGCACTTCCTCTTCTCTATCTTCTAACCTGCTCATTAACCCTTTCAAGTTCTGGGCTGAAGTATATATTCGATATTCTACCTGGCATCGTTTCTCTTTCTTTCGATATTTTACGTGGAACTCTCTTGTATTCAAATTTCAATGTACACTGGTGTTCGTGAGTATTAGGTAGGACACACAGTCGTAAAGAAAGTATTGTGATTTAACCCTTAATTAGGGACATTTGTTTTTCAGTTATCACAGGCTACTTTGACAATTATATTAAATCACTGTGTTGTGAAAATTAATCTAATATAACTATGCTGTTCGTTAAGGTTTTTTGAATATTGTATAAAAATAGTACATTTATAAAGTTATATAAAAAATTAGGATTTTATTTTTTGGAACTAGTGCACATTCTGCTGTCAATTGAAGCTACTCAAACTCTAGAGCAGCCGAAATTCACCAAATATGTAATTGAGATAGTGAAATAAAAATTCAGACAAGTAGTCTATAGTTAAAGGGTTAAATTACATTTCTCCGCCAGATACTCTTTATTTTATGATATTCCAAGCTGGATAATTTATAATAAGCGTCCTAATACTCACGAACAAGAGTGTACCTATATAAACCTAGAACTAAGTCACATAGAGCTTTGGAATTAAGACTTTCTAGCAATTCCTGGTTAATCATTTCCCAAAATCTTGCTTCAAATTACCCATGTAGATCTTCGCTATGAAACTAACAAGTAGAATTGGTCTAAACTTTTCATTATCGTTTCCTCGTTGAAAAATTCCAACATAATTGTACTAAAATTGAATTTAAAATCTAACAACAGGAGGCGATGCTGAAGCTGATGAGACCAACACCGCCATTGCCAGCGGAACATCCGTTGCTCAGCTACGAGTGCCATGAGTCCGACCGGTGGACGTCGCAGGAAATGGACGCATTCTATCAGGGTCTCTTGAAGTACAATAAAGACTTCTCTGCGATCTCGCGAGACGTTGGTGGCAAGTCCGCGAAACAATGCGTGCAATTCTATTACCTGTGGAAGAGGCTCCGCCCGGACGAATACAAGAGACTGCGTGTTCGCCACGGTAAACCAAAGATAAAGACAGAGAGCAAGGATTGCAAAGACACCAGGGAGCTTCGAGACGCCATCGCCTCCGTCACGGAGATGGACTTTAGCGAGGACAAATCGATTCTCCATCGCACTCTGGTGAGTTCAGTTATCTGATTATGAAATTGATTCGTCAAATTTTAATATTGTAATCTTCGTTAATTTTCTAAATTTCTGCCAAAAGTTAACCTTCGAACGGCGGATTTCGTCAAATTTTAGTAAAATAATCTTCGTTAATTTTCGAAATTACCTAAAATAACTCGAATGGCGGATACCGGGTTACTACTGACCTAAAGTAGGATGTTAAAAAAAGGTCAATTTTGGAATACGGCCGGAAAGAAAAATTTTTTTACAGCATGATTCTACGCATTCTAAGGAACGAAAAATGTAATCGTCATTTTTCCCGCAAATGATAGGAAAGTTATGGGAAATGCGGTTCAAGGTAAGAGTATGACCATACTTATAACTTATATTCCGTCTCGTTTTCTTCGGAGGCTGGTCTGTTCTTTGGTCTTTGGTACATTAATGTTTAATAAAAACCAAAAATAATGAAAAATAATTAATAACAAATTAATCGAAACAAGGAATTCTTTGATGACACAATGCTTATATTCTAAGCAATCAGAAAACAATGGTTATTTATTCTCGAAGTGGCTAAAATTATAATAAACTATCGTAAATACAATAAAATAATCGTCATGACAGGGATACAATAAAAAAGTAAGATTCTAACAGAATTTGCATTTCTTAACTGTGTATCCACTATAAAAGCCAGAGAAAAAAGTATCATCTAATATATCAGTCTGAACATATATGTACAGTATATTCTCCACAAGTGTCAGACTGCAAGGAAGCTAAACCTGACACTTGTAGAGTTAGGGAATACGTTTTCGAGCCTCGCGCCCGCCTTTGTAGTTTGTCGAACATACACAAGGAAAGCGAATAAAAGATAAGCATGAAACGTCAGTCCAGGCAACCAAGCGATTTAAATATCAACTTTTTTAATTTCACGTTTTTCTATCCCGAAATTTTTCTTAACATATTGACGAGATTTTTGTGATGAAAATGATATGAAACACGACATAATTTGAACAACATTTACTTATTAACACGTTCACTATCACGCCAGATTTACAGGTAGCTGTCAGGCGGCCACAAGAAAATACATTTTAAGCATAGGATTATAGTATTATGCTTTATAATTTTTTTTTCAATTGAAAATAAT